GCAGCAGCTACGTGATTAATGTATTCTGCTAATCAACAGTCTGCAGGATCCTTCGCGGGACGCTCGTTCCCTAGTAGTACTTATATGCAAAGTATTATTTTTATCCATTAAAAACAAGTGCTTTTGAAAGCTGAAGCAATTACAAATTCCAAAGGTTGTGTCTATCACCACTTCAACTACATTTGCAAGCACGTATTAGGGTACTGAAGGAAAAAGTCTCATGAATTTAGTTTCTCTTCAGAGGCAGTTACTTTTAAGAGTAACACAAAAAACCCTCACTTTTTTTACTTCTACTTCTTAGAAATATCCTTGTTTTTCTTTTTGCAGCCTCCTAACGCTCGTGCTGCACATAATTATGGTGACTTGGACCCATTTAAATTTCGTTGGCTGATTCCTTTATCTGCTCTTCAAGTTCGACTGGGGAACACAGCAGGTAATTTAATAACACTTTTTATCCCTAATAATTTAGAATTGAATGCTTTCCCGGGATTCAGTCACATTGCTGCTTCTATATGTCTTTCTGGAGCCTCTGGAAACAGGCAGGTGAAGACAAAATAGTGTCTGCTGTTGTCTCTGTACTCAGGGGGTACAGGTGTGATGCATTAATGAAGTTTCTTCATTTGGTACGTTGGCTTCTTGTGTAAGCTCAGGAGGGTGCAAAACGATGTGAACGAATTACAAAATGCCAATCCCCAGTGAACAGACACCATGAACAGGAAGGTGATTGACCATGGCTGCTGTCCTGGTGACACCCTTATGCTGTGTGTGTGCCGACCCTTGGGTCTTCACTGGGCATGTTTAGTTTGGAGAAGAGGAGGCTGAGGGGAGACCTCATTGCCCTCTACAACTACCTGAAAGGAGATTGTAGAGAGGCAGGTGTTGGCCTCTTCTCCCAAAGGACGAACGACAGGACCAGAGGAAATGGTGTGAAGTTGAGGCAAGGGAGATTTAGGTTAGATATTAGAAAGAACTACTTTACTGAGAGAGTGGTCAGGCACTGGAACAGCCTGCCCAGGGAGGTGGTGGAGTCACCATCCCTGGAGGTATTTAAGAAACATATAGACATGGCTCTTCAGGGCATGCTCTAGTGCCCAATGTTATTGGTTTATGGCGAGGTGTTGAGTGTGGGGTTTAGTTGGTGGGTGCGGTGTTTTTGGTGGGTGTTTGGTGTGGTGTGGTGTTTTGGGGTTTTTGTTTTTGGTTTTTTTTGTGGTTGGACTCGATGATCTCAGAGGTCCCTTCCAACCACTAAGATTCTGTGATTCTGTGATTCCCAGATGTAGGAGAGTTGACTGGGTGATTTGTGGCAGTAGCCTGTGTTTTCATTTTCTCTTGGAGCTGATCTTTATGATCTTTACATCTCCTGTGAAGTGTCACTAGTGCTTTGTCCACTTGGGAGAAGGCATTCTAAGGCTGGAAGGCAGCAAGACGTATTAAGAAATGGGGAAAGCCATTTCTCTCCAAGAGAGAAGGTCAAGTTATCAAAGGCAGCGCTGGCCGGGCTGCTGCAACAAGAGAGATCAGGGGACTTTCCTTTGGGTTCCACCTCGGGTGAGATCTTCTGTGGATCCACCCATGCCTGTGTTAACACTTCCTTCTGAAGAGGAGCTCTACATGGGTCTTTCTGATGCCGAAGGTTTTGTGAAGTATATACAAAAATAACGTTTCCTTCCGTGTGCAGGAACAGAGAACAGCTGTGTCTGGGAACTGATTCACACCAAGTCAGAGCTAGAAGGCAGGCCAGAAACAATTTTTCAGTTGTGCAGCAGGTAAGCTTCACATGGAGGTTGTATTTGACGAATCACATCAATAGAATTAATAATATAAAATATTTTCTCCCACATGACCTTTGCATCAGCACTTCTAATGCAGCTCTCACTGTGAATCCAGGCACCACGCCAGTGTAACTGCATAAAGTATAGAAATTCAGGGGGCTGGAGCACCTCCCCTGTGGGGACAGGCTGAGAGCTGGGGTTGTCCAGCCTGGAGAAGAGAAGGCTCCAGGGAGACCTTATAGCGGCCTTCCAATATCTGAAGGCTACAGGAGAGCTGGGGAGGGACTCTGTGTCAGGGAGTGTAGTGTGATAGGAGAAGGGGTAACAGTTTTAAATTGAAAGAGGGGAGATTTAGATCAAACATTATGAAGAAATTCTTTCCTGTGAGGGTGGTGAGGCACTGGAACAGGCTGCCCAGGGAAGATTTGGATGCCCCATCCCTGGAGGTGTTCAAGGCCAGGCTTTGAGCAACCTGGTCTGGTGGGAGGTGTCCCTGCCCATGTCAGGGGGGTGGAACTGGATGATCTTTAAGGTCCCTTCCAACCCAAACCATTCTATGAATTTAAAATGGGAGTGAATTTGGTGCAGTAATTCCCCGTCAGCAACCTGCCCAGATGATCACAAATTCTAGTATGATATGGGCAACGCAACTGATTTCATCAGACTCTCAATGGGTCAGCAGAAATCACCTTCTGATAAAGGCCACGATCCTTGGGTACAGAAGTTACCTTTCCAGATGTTTTTTCTAAGGGGAAGTAACCAAGATCTCAAAACACCATTAAGGGGTGATCCTTGGGTACAGAAGTTACCTTTCCGGGTGTTTTTTCTAAGGGGAAGTAACCAAGATCTCAAAACACCAAGGGTGCAGAATGGCTAACATGAAGATGTGAGCTGCAAAACCTTAAACCACATCAGCAGAAAGGAGAAAGGCAGATTTTATCCCAGTGGTTTCTTACTTCAGAGGGGAAAATTAGGTTGTCTGTACTCTTAACCTTGCAGTGACTGCGAGAACAAGACGAACATCGTGAAGGTGATCCGGTCTATTCTGAGGGAGAATTTCCGGCGTCACATAAAATGCGAGCTGCCGCTGGAGAAAACGTGTAGAGATCGCCTTGTCCCACTCAAGAACCGGGTACCTGCCACAGCCAAACTGGGTAAGAAACACCACCTCAAAGCTGACAAATGGAGCCTGGCTCCAGAGCTGGCAGAAGGTTCACAATTATGACTTTGACTGTCGTATGCCAGACCCACAAATCCCGTTTGGGTTTTGGGGAAGTGGTAGAGTTTCCCCGTAACTCAGAGCATGACAAGGGCCAGACCAGATAAACGACCTTCCCACCCCCCCACACCGTGATGTGTCATTAGCTCTCTTATGGGGGAAGATTTAATAAGGCCCAAATTAATTTTGCAGGGAAGAAACAGACTCCCTTTGGCACGCAGTATTAGTGTTCTTTCCTCTGGGTTCCCTTTAGTAACTCAGCCCTAATAATATTTAAAGCTAAAAGAACTGGCAAAAGGCAGGGGTCTTGCCTCTTCCAGTGCACTAAATCTGCATCCCAGCAGATCCCCTAATTAAGTACAGCCTTCAGACATTTTAGTTAAATGAGCAGCTACGAGCATTTCAAGTTCTCCATCGGTTCAGTTGTCTGTAAAATCCCCTTAACATCCCAGGAACCGGGACAGTTCAGCTCCCACCTACAGCCTGGCCCTCCGGGTGCCTGCATCAATCTCGCCTTCCTGTGGATGTGTGTAAAGCATTGCTACTATTTTTTGGAGGATTTTTGTATAAATTTCACACGAGGGGAAGCATATAGCCCTGGGGTGGGTGGAATGAAACCTCTGGCAGGGGATGGCACTGTGGGTATCAGAATGCTGACATGCCTGACCTGGGATCATTACCAAATGAGACTATGAACGCTGTAATTATAAGTGGGCTATTGATGCGGACGGTATAACTAGCTGTTGTTTTGCTGAAAACCAAAATAAAACTGCCTTTTTTTTCCACTGCACAGCTTCCACGAGGTCCCTGAAGGTACTGAAGAATTCCTCCAGCAGTGAGTGGAACGGTGACCCGGGGAAAGGCACCTTCCAGGACTCTGACGAGTGCAGCCTGAGCAGCAGCACCCAGAGCAGCAGCTGCCACACCGCCGAGAGCGCCCAGGACCCCAAGCACTCACCTCCCGACAAACACCCCCAGGGCTGCACCTCCCACTTCTCCAACGTTCTCCTCAAAGAATCCGACATCCTCAGCGACGACGAGGAGGACGACCATGACTACCAGAGCCCGAAGAAGGGCAGCCCTACGAAAGACATCGAAATACAGTTCCAGCGGCTGAAGATTTCGGAGGAACCGAGTACTGACTCTGAGAGGGACCAGGCTGCTGAGAACGAGGAAGGAGATGGCTTCGAGACGGGAGAGCATCCAAAACTGGTGCGTGGCCACTTCTGCCCAGTGAAGAGAAAAGTCAACAGCACGAAGCGTAACCGGGGAACTCTAATGGCAATGCAAGAACGTCACCAGTCCCTCGACAGCCACTCCGAAGCCGCAAACCTGGACCTGAACTCTATTTTGGAGAGAGAATTTAGTGTCCAGAGTTTAACATCTGTAGTTAATGAGGACTGTTTTTACGAAGCTGTGGAGAGGCACGGGAAATCCTAGCTTTCTAAGCACTATATTTAAAACATTCATTTGAAGTCCACATAAAATTCAACAAACTTACTTTGCTTTAAAACTAGTAAAATCATGGAAGCTGCAGGAAAACTACTATCTGATTTTTGTGCACTAATACAGGTTTTTTTTTTTTTCCACAAAAAACAGCTGTAAAGGATTATTAAGTTATTTTAATTTATTGTGGATCAAAAATAGATTAAGTTGGCCAAGGTCTGTAAATTAGTTCATCCCTTTGGAGCAGTCGTTAGGAGGATGTAGTGTTCTGGGGCAGGGGAAGGGAAGGATGGGCTCGTTAGTATTTTAAGTAGTGTGGCAAAGGTGCTCGCGTGGCAGAGGGGATCCCAACGCAAAGTAGCATCGCAAAAATGAATTTTTCAATACCTTGGGCATTTTATTTCTTTGGTTTTCATTTTTGCTTTATTTAAAGCAGAATTAAGTTATTTTAATGTGTTTTAGTGCACAATAGTGCAGAAATTTCATTTTTGTAAGTTTCAAGATGCTGTTTATACTTTATACATACCTGTAAATACAAAAACAAAGCTTGGCCTGTAATCTTTTATTTGACTGTATTTTTTATTTTCTCTACCAGCCTGTACAGTAAAAGACAAATAAGTATTGTACTTAGCCATGTTTTCTACTTTTTATCGTGCTGCTTTTCTCTAGTTGGGAGCTTTAAATCCCGAATTCTTTGCTTTTGTATAAACGAGAAGAGTATTAGCAGACCTTGAGGCAATCTGCGCACTTTATCCTCCTCTAAGCCAGTCACTTGAGTACATTTATACAAGGGTTTTGGCTTTTGTTTTTTAAATTACTCAGCACAGTAGGATGTTCCAGGATAAAAAGAGCACAAAACCCCAAACACCCTCTTACATGTTGAAGTATGAAAAGTGTTTTTTCTTACATTTCAATAATGCACTTTCATTCATATAAAACAATTTTTTCAGGAGTATCCCACCTTAATTACGTCTCACAACATACCTCGTTCCCCTGAAGGTAAAACGAACCTGTAGGCACCTTGTAACTGGATGGTTCTTCCACTTTACATAAAATGGGAAAGCCCTCTGTCTCTCCACCACCTTCTCAAAAGTATTTCTTCCACACCTGCACAGATGTAGGACTATATAAAGCCTCCTTTTATTTAATCAACACCTCTAGATCAAGGAGTTAAAAAAATAAAATAAAATCAGTCTGCTGCTGATTATAGCTGATCTTCCTCTTCAATCTCATCGGGCTGACCAGTACTTTTAAGTAAATTCCTCCTCATCTTCTTTTGCCTCAGTTCTTCCCTGTAATTGTAGACAAAAAGGCTTGGGTCTTCATCACACATTTTCCTGTATGTATCACACAGATTTCTGAAGTGGGACATGGAGAGCTGAAAGGGACGCAGAGTTGGATCAACATTTGCTGTCATCATCAGCTGTTCTGTCCTTTTCAAACGTCCACTTTCAGGAAACAAGGTCCTAAAAGGTGTGGAGAAAAAACAAATAAATTCAAACAATCCAGACAGGTAATTCAGTTTCCCTTACAAGTAACAGGGTCCTCTTGGGAATTTACTTAATAGAGGTTATTATTAAGGATGTCATTATTTTAGCTCTAGCACTGTTAATATAGCTCATTATCTAAGCAAATGGAAACATAAGGCCCCTTTTTCTGCAAATGCAAATTATAAAAGCATAGGAAAGCACATACATACATTGTACATTACACACATGCATGTATGTTCACGTTTGCTACCATTAAAAAGGCTTTGGGTATGGCTACAGTCTGAGAACCTTCTTAGAATTAACCTCGTACTCAGAGAGCAACAACAGATTAAACTGCGTAAAACGGATCAGAACCAAACCACGAGACTTTCTTTCAGGCTGAGTGTGTGTCTCATTCCAATGGGAAAGACACTGCTATCACTTGTCATTAATAGGGGAGAAAAGGAATATTTAATTATCATTCACTTTTTAATATTTAGAACTTGGAGAATGTGCCAAGAGTCCTAGATTTTTGTTTTCAGCTCTGTCAATATTCACAGGTTCACTACGAAAGTCAGTTCACTTACTCTGTGGCCAGATGGGTCAGCACTGCTCTCTCCCTCTCAAGTTCCCCAAATTTTAATGCATAGTATTAGCTCAAGTGATTTTTTTTTAACGTCTCAAAAAAATGCATAATACAAAGCACAAACTATTGAAAGTACTGGCTGACTGGCTCTTATTAGGAGTGCTCAGGCTACAAGAGGTCAGGAAGGCAGAATATTTGCACGTGGTTCATGTTTATGTCTGAATTTTCAAATCATCTGCCTGTGTCATACGGACATAAGGCCCAAAAAATGCTGCCAACCCTCTCAAGCCTCCAGGTGCTGACTGGACAAGGCAGTCAAAAGGCTTTCTATGAGTAAGTGACAGCTGGCTCTAATGGGCAGACAGAACAAAGTTAAAGGGTTTAAAATGACAACAGGATGGAACATCTCAGAACAACCTGGGTTAAAGTACGTTCTACTCAAGGCCCTGGTCAACAGTGTCCCCATTAGCTCAGCATCTAGGTCAGCAAGGTTAACATGGATCAATCCTCATTTTGATATCCCTACTATGGAACATCTCGGAACAACCTGGGTTAAAGCACGTTCTACTCAAGGCCTTGGTCAACAGTGTCCCCATTAGCTCAGCATCTAGGTCAGCAAGGTTAACATGGATCAATCCTCATTTTGATATCCCTCAAGTTATTCTTGCCTTTGATTTGGCAGTTAAAAGATGTATCTGGAGCCAAAAACGTTTAATTAACTTTTACATACAAAGAACTATCTTATAAATGTCCATGAACAGCAACTCAAATTACAGTATTTTTCTTCATGGACTTAATAGTTTAATCTTCTAGGCCAGGGCTCTCTCAGATGACAAGATTTACACACAAATGTAAACTGATTCTATTATCTTGTTTTTATACAGTAAATGCAATACACAAGATTATTAAGTTTGTTACAAGGTATCTACTATATACCTAAATTTTCTGGTTTTTTCACGTCAGTTAAATAATAAGAGGATTGTGTTTCTTAGCTGCACGCTAGGGCTAAAGTATGATAAGCTGCTAGGGGGATATGTGACGTTCAAAAGTTCAGATTTCCCCCTCCCTTGCCTCAAAAGAATGTAAAGCAGTTATTAGCAATTTAAGATTACACAATTGTTGTTTGGTTTTTTTTAAACTCAGGGAAAAATATTCTATGTAACGTAGATAGGCTGACTCTGCGTAACTTCTGCCTACGTTGGCAGAAGTAGGCAGAAACCATTCTCTCACAAAAATGCAAATCCACGAATCAAATACAAGCCTCTCTAGAATTCAGACACCTTATTTTCCAACCACCTCCAAACGCACACGCAAACCTTAACACAGGCAAAATTTTAGGTCAAATGTCTCCTTTCCAGACATCAATGCCATTGACTGCCACAAGGGATAAAAAAACCCCAAACTAGAAGCAAAATTCTATGGTCCACGCAAACCTTAACACAGGCAAAATTTTAGGTCAAATGTCTGCATTCCAGACATCAATGCCACTGACTGTCACAAGGGAAAAAAAACCAACCCCAAACTAGAAGCAAAATTCTATGGTCACTTTTAAAATAGTGACACACAGGGCTTGTAGTTCAGCAGGGTGGCATCCACCCACATTCTGGACTGCGTCAGGGCCACCACCATGCCCAGCAAAATTCAGGTAGCGTGTTGAATTTAACAAGCCTCTACCCCTACCATCAGCTCTGCCAGACAATCTAATGCTGAATGCTGGGACTCCCCACACCAAGTCAGCCGCGTAACTCCACCAGAGGATTAACAGGATCCTTGGCAGACAGGCTGCAGGCTTCTCCCATTGGGTGGAGAACTGAATAAATTTCCTCAGTAAGGCACAGGGATTTTTAAAGAGTCAGCAATAACTCCACAGAAGGGCAAGAACAGAAACAAGACTTTGACCTTTTGACATCATCCCCCAAAAAGTAAAATTTCGTACAACTGACACTCTCCCTCCTCACACTGCCATTTTTGGTTCTGAAGTTTGAGACTTTTTTTTTAACAAATGCTGTAGGTTTTGTGGTTGGTGCTGGTTTGTTTTGGTTTTTTTTGTTTCTGAGACAGACAAGCTCTTGGAGAGATCACCAATTTATCCTAGTCATTTTAACAGCTTCAACTGCGCTAACGAAAATGCACAGTAATTATTATATAATTGCAGCAGAAAGGGATTCATTTAATCGTTTTGTCTCCTGAAAGCTTTCTGAAATGGAAAGATCTGATGAACTACGATGACAAATTTAAAAGGGGGTAATAAAATCAAATGCATGGCTACAAGTCTTCCTCAACAGATTTAGCAGCTGGCACATTTACAAGAACAGTATCTGAGATTTTTTTCCATTCAAGATCCTTACTCGATTCCGCGGAAGCAGTATTTTCTTCTAAACTGGAAAACACTTCGGACCACTTTTTCTACGAGCGCGAACGGCTGCTGTATCTTTGGTTGCACCAACGGGGTGAAATGCACCACAGCCACATCCACCTGTAAGGAAAAGATAGATAAATTTGAGTATATTCCTCTGAGACGCCGTATTTCTAAATTACCCAGTTAGACATCAGGAAACAGGGGGAACAAAGGAAGACACTGTTGTGACAGGTAACAGAGCTGTGCAGTGAGGAACGTCACACTATTTGAAGACAAGGATTTGGTTTAACTTTCAAGGCCTTACAGAATTTTAGCCTGTCTTAGTTATCTACATCTTCCCGATGAGTTCACATACCATTAGCACTCAGTACTTTTTTCCCCCCATGGCACTTCCTCCATCTAGAGCAACTTCCATGTAATCTGTAAAGTAATTAGCACGGCTGCCTTCAGATCCTTCCACAAGGCAATCCTGACATGATATACAAATTAGCCAATATTCAATAGATAGGCTGAAGGGCAGCTGAAGAAAATTGGTATTATAATTAGAAATCAAACCCATTCCCTGTATGATTTCTGTTGCTCTAGGGCTTTTCTAAAATGTAAGCCACAGAATTGCTTTTCAACCTATTAAGATTTCAGCATTCTAGTCTACTTAAAGGAACGGTAGGTAGAAATAAATTTTCGTTCAGTTTAAATGACTGTACAACTCTGCGTCTACACTGTGTATCACAGTTCATCCAAAATCATATTTGCATGCTTCTACACAGATCTCTTTCAAGCTTGTTTTATTCTTTTATAGATCTGAAATCATCCTCAATGACACCTTCCCTGTGTCTGAAAACAGAATGAAGTTAACATCATTCCTTCAATGTCCACATAGCTATAAAACACATAAAGTATGTCATGCAATTATATAGATACTGTATTATACAAAAATGCCCCGAATTCAGACTTCTGTATCACAAAATAAAGGCGGGGCTAAAAATCCAGTTCTGCACAACATCAAACAAAGCAGTTTATCTTCCAAACTAGATACTAACAACAATAAAAATGAAAAGATTCTGTGGAGGAAGACATTGACAATTTGCACTGGTACTGAATGACCAGAAAATTTTTAAGTGCCAGACTTTTAGAAATAGTCAGTCTCTTATTAAAAAAATATCTGCTCATACAATGGACAATCATCAATCTTTTTAAAAGATCTGAAAGTCACTATTGGCATTCATAGAACAGATTCTATGTGACATTAAATTGAAGATGTGCTAGTTCTGACTGAAATAAAAGATACACTCAGACTGAAGAACAGCTTCTGTCCTAAGCACACTCTCAGTGCACCAACCCTAAAAAAAACAACCTAAAGAAAACCCTAAAAATTTTCAAAACAAATGGGTTTTTTTTCTACTGCTCTAATCAGAACTCCTCTAAATCTGTGGGTTTTTAAATAAATCAACTAAATCAATCAATTAAATTGTAGTAACTGCTGTTGTGGACATATCCTTCTGGCACAAAGGTGCCATCCATCCATGTTGGACTTTGAGTGGGAACAGCTCAGCTGTCAGGGGCATCTAGTCACAACAACTGCTCCAACAAAAAGCACAAAATTCAAACAACATCAGTTCTTCATGCAGACAGAACCCATGAAGCTGAATGCAAATACTGGCTAGGGAAAGGAATAAAATACTGATTAATGCTGCTGATTAAAAAAAAACACAGTAAGTTTCCGGTAGTGGCACTGCTGATCTCAAGTATATGTTCCAGGGAGTGTTTTTTCTAGTGACAAAGAAAACCTGACACATAGAATTTGCAGTGAAATGCACATAAATATATTTTTCCAAAGCAGTTTCTAAATTTCTCATGTGTTGGTAACTTCCACTCATCTACAGGTTGCTGCTACCTGTCCAGGAGACCACAGGAACACAGCAAGAATTTGTGTTCACAATGAGTGTCAGAAAAGTTTATCTTTTTGAACAGAGCAAACACATACTTCACACAACCAACCAGCTCCTCGCACAAAAAAAAACAACAAACACCTTAGTATTTCTTCTTTTTTTTTTTTTTAACACACACGTATGTTTATCTATCTACAGTTCTTGTCAAGAAATAAACCAAGATTAATTCCCCGACAAAACTGGGGATAAGAAAACCACTGGAGCCCATTTGGGATCTCACAGTCGCCTCAGTTTTGCAGAACTGCTTGGAAGTGAGATGCAAGGGCTCTTGGGGAGTAGGAGCTGCATCTTTAACAAAAATTTCTGAAGAAAAAAAAAAAGAACACAATCTAGATGCAGAGTACAGTTTAAGAGAAAAACAGCTCAATTTGCAATCTCAAGGCCAGTGGGCAATAATTTCTGCTTTTGAAACAAAACACAGCACTTCTCAGCATTTGTTCCATTATAGACGCTGTTTTCTTTGGACCCCAGGAAAGCTGCCTGGTTACCATAGCAACAGATACAGGGGAAAGCTTTTCACTTGTAATTGGCCACTCCTTTAAATTTATACATGCTATTTTTCCCTAACCTTTTTAATATGCATAAAATAGAGAGTAGAATTATGAAAGCCAATAGAGAGTACACAACAGCACTTAAAATACACAAGTTAATTTGCGGATAATTTTATTAGTAACACTTTCCAACCCCCAAGCACATTAGAAATATTTACAAAATAATACTCAATTCTTACAAAGTAACCAATATGAAAATTATTCAACTGATATATCCTGAACTGTCAATAGAGGAGCAATTATTCAACCCTTGCTGTTTCAGTGTGTCAGTACAATGAAGGTTTATGTTCTAGCAGGGTAGGAGGAACACATGACACAGTACAATTTAATTCAGCAAGTCTGCTGCCTTGCTGCTGAAATCAACATTCTAAATCAAAATAAGCTTAAATGAGACAATTTTTACTAATTGTAGACAATAAAGGTGTCGTGATGGGCAATACATGTATCTTGCAACAGGGCTGTATTAAAAGCAAACCCACATACCCTTTTTCAAGCTGTAATTTACTCATAGGGAAGTGTAAGCAGAACATATTACAACTTCACTAAAACAGACTCCTTGAGATCCTACCAAGATAATTCTAAGCCAGCACTTTCACCAACTAAGTGTTCAGTACAGGCATTTTATCTGTCTCCTATGGACAAACGTTAGGTCTAACACCAGATACGTGTATCTCATAGTGATCTTGTTCTGATGTGAGGATTTCATTTTGTTCACTTCCAGCAGAAAGTAACTGTGTCCCCGCACTAAGAGCAATAATCCAATCCCTGTAACTTAACTCCATTCACACCAGGCTGACAAACAGCATCCCAGGAAACCAAAAATCAAGGTACAGAAGCTATATCACTGCTGCAATCAGGAAGATTCTTTTCCTAATTTCCACACCAACTTGTCAAGGCCACTTCACCCATGTGCTGCAGTTAGCATAGAAGTTTTATTCCTCCATTCCTTTATACAGACTCATACGGGTATATCACCGCTGCAATCAGGAAGATTCTTTTCCTAATTTCCACACCAACTTGTCAAGGCCACTTCACCCATGTGCTGCAGTTAGCATAGAAGTTTTATTCCTCCATTCCTTTATACAGACTCATACAAAGGCAACAAGTTATAGGATGACCTGCAGAAAGCTAAAGCGATCAAGAAGAGATAAGCAAAACCTGTACTTGAATAGAAATGTCCTGCTGTCCCAATTACAAATTAGAATAAATTGCATACTTCTTTCCTAAGAAATTTAAACTCTTAATAAGATTATCTGTGATGAAAAAAACCGAACCAACAAAACCAACAACCCACAAACAACAAAACCCTCTGGCTCTAGCTCTCATTTTAACTTAAATGAATCCTACCCTCCCTCTTTTCTCCCCCTCCCCTCAAATCCGTATGTCTACAGAGTTTCTGGATTCTCAAAGTTTTACTCCTTTTAATCACTGTTCACATTTTTAATCGTAGAACCTGGATATCATTATGTATTTAGGACTAAAGGCCTCCATGTGTTTTTCTCCATAATCTCTTTGCTTTCCCTTACTGAGTGTTTGTCAAACAAAACTCATTAAACAAAGTACTCCTTTATTCTCGGGTAGATGGAACTAAGAGAGCGAACAAACAGCAGTAATGCACTTGCTGCAGAGAAGAGAAAAAAAAAAAACAACATTCCAAGAAATTTTGTTAATACATGCCAATGCAGTTTTATATGAGAAGCAATAGTTCCATTGAAGAGAAACTGCATTTTTCCAGGACATCTGCAGTGAAGAAAAGATCTCAGACCTCACATCCAGCAGTAAGTGCTACACAAACAGCAATGAAACATAATGGTATTTTTTATTACACTTGCAGTGCTTATACTTGAATTTATCATGCCTTTAATTTGGTTCATCCCATTAAATGTAATATATGACTACCCTTAGCAGTGGTTTGCATTTATGTTTGCATGTTTGTATATACTGAAATTTTAAAAAGGAAGCAATGAAAAAGGGTTAACTGAAGATCCTAATTAGCTGTTCCACAATATGCTTTTGAATGAGTTTTGAGCTATCCAGGCATGTCAATTCCTCCTGTAAAAGGAAGTTAAACCATCTTTCCCATGGGCCTGATACAGCAAATTATATGTATTTGCCAAAGCGACTCTTCACGGTCTGAACAAACAGAAGAGATTTGGAAATAAGCAGGTCTTTGAAGTAAGATTTTAAAACTGAGTAGCTATTAACATTCTCACCTTAACTACATGCTTTTTTAACATATATACACTGGACAAAGTTAGCACATCCTTGAACAGTTACCTGAAGTAGGCAGGCTATATAAAATTAGAGGATTACTTGTTATGTAATGCCAATAAAGACTGATAGATCCGTATCGATCAAAACCTTGAATTGAAATAAGAGTACAATGTTGCAGATACTTTGTGTTCCGCTTATTTCAACTTAATCCCCTATTATTATGGCTTTTCCAAAAAATTCTAATGCTAACGACCAATTTAAACGTGATGGTTAATATTTAAATAAGATGTCTTGGAAGGCATAACCCAGACTGAGGACCGCCCTTTCTCTGTTGCTCTGATTCAAGACAAAACCTGCCAATTACAGAGCCCTACTCAAAAGGCAGGACACCATTTCTGACCCTTGTCACAAAGGTTTCAAACCATTTTTCTTCACCTGCTTTCCCAACAGTCCAGCTGATGTAACAGCAACAGTTCTCTCTTCCCAGCTGCACCGTTATCCTACTGCATAAATGTTCTCAGCTGTCAAATGAAATCTGAATCTTTGTGCAAGAATAGCAGGCAGGTTTTTTTAATGAATTTTTAAAACTGCCACTTCATGGCAAGTTTGCCAACGATTTCAGGTAGGGAAGTGATTTAAAAAAAAAACATGCACTTAGACAACCGAGTTGTTCTTTATCAGTGTTAAAACCAGTATTTTGTTTTATAGACAAAAGCACATCATATTCAGTCTTGTGATTTGCTTAGTCCTGCTGCTCCAAGTCAAGGGCTGAGAATCTCAGACTCGAAATAAAATACTGATTTAGAAGGGTCACATGCAACTTGTGAAAATACTGCAAAAACTAAATTTAATCTTATTCTCCTTAAAAACTCTGAAATTTGGTAACAGTTAAGATAGTATTACCAATGTTCACTATTATAAAACAGTCAAAAGGAGCTGACTACAGCCATCAACACATTTAAGGAAGGTACTTTAAATAAGAGTACAACGTATTTTCCACCACAGTGTTTTTCCAAAATGACTTCTAATCTGCAAGTTCCTAACCTTCCGCTTACAACATATATTTGTCTAGTAAGCCTGCAATGTGTATACCATTACCAAAACCAACTCCAGTAAAGTACGTTTTGCTCGATGGCTTGTAATCCTGTACGAAAGGGCAGCAGCTCCGTCTCAGAAGCAATTCTAAACCACTGCCCATTTGCCATCATTTATGTTCGAGTGCCTTGTGTACAGCTGCTCGGCTGCTCTCCTCTGCTGCAGGGTCATGTTCAGATACTCATTCAGATAGCTCTAATTTTAAATGCAAGCTTTTTTTTTTGTTGTTTGCTGATTTCTTTTTCTTTCCCCCCTCGCACTTCTCCTCCCCGCCCCCCCCTCCCGCCTCCTCCCTATTACACAGAGGGCTACAGCCTTGGCTACGAAGCTACCAACCAGTTACACTCATTTACAAGAGAGAAACAGGCAGACAAAAGGTGACAGCAGATAATCATCATGGCATCGGCGAGTCTGCAGTTCTTCGCTTTTATTCTGGCTTTGTTTGGTGTTTTTGGAGACATCACGGCTACTTTGCTCCCCAACTGGAAGGTAAATGCAGATGTTGGTTCAAATATCATAACAGCTATAACACAGATGCAAGGGCTCTGGATGGACTGCACGTGGTACAGCACGGGGATGTTCAGCTGCACCCTGAAATACTCCGTTCTCTCCCTCCCCGTCTACATCCAGGCTGCGAGGACCACCATGGTACTGTCCTGCATCCTGTCAGCCTTTGGGATCTGCATCACCACAGTTGGAATGAAATGCACAAAGTTGGGAGGGGACAGCGACAGCAAAAGCCACGCTTGTTTCGCTGGAGGAGTCTGCTTCATTCTGGCAGGAATCTTTGGATTAGTACCAACATCCTGGTACACGAGGGAAATTATTTCCAATTTTCTAGACCAGACCATTCCAGAGAGCAGTAAACACGAACCAGGAGGAGCGGTTTATACAGGATTCATCTCAGCAGGGTTCCTGCTTATCGCAGGTGTGATCTTCTGCACTTCCTGTTTTAAAAAGCAGCAAGGAGCATGGATTTACCCTCCAAAGCAGCACCACTTCCCATCCACAGAGCAGGAGAGCGACGCAGGTTACAACCTGAAGGACTATGTGTAAATACAGTGATTTCTATCCATTCAAGTTTTTTTTTTTTTTGTGCTAAGTGTAATTTGATTATTTCAAAGAATGTATAACATAGCACTTAACTTCTCTTACATCTGGGTTGCAATGATGTTTAAGTAAGATTTCATTTATAGCAACATCCACAAAAAGAATGAAGTAGGAAACAATGCTTAAGTCTGCTACAGGAGTATTTTTTTTCATTGATTTTTCAAACCATTCTTTTTGACTTTCCAAGTAACATTTAGTGAAGAAAAAGAAACTATATTCAAACATAACTGACAGTACAATTAATGTACTGACGGCTTGTTACAGCAAAGATGCTTAAAACCTAACTGCCTTCTATTTAGCAAATCAGGCCATCAATAACATATGAAGTTTTATAGTGCATTTTACATTTTTATCTTTATTTTAATTACAATGCAAGGAAGAAAATAACCCAACTGCTCTCTGCCCAAGAAGCCCAGTTCAATGTTTTTTAAGTAACAGACACATCTGCCTTTGATTTTCAGTTCTAAATTGCCTTGGTAATTAGATTTCTTAAAAAAACCAAACAAGAAACAAAACCACACACACACACAAACCAAACTAAACCAAAAAAGCACAAGAAAAATCCACAGCCCCAAACCTTTGCTGCATTGTATATTCTACGTATCAGGCTAAAGAATCAGCAGTACCATTCAGATCTTGCTAAAAATGGCTCTCCTGCCCCAAACTGCCACCTGCTGTGGGTTCCATTTATTATTGTTGAAAGAAACGTCTACTGGGCACCCTCCAAGTGCTACTCATCTATCACTACACAATGACTGTTAGATTTGAGGAGCAATACAACAACAGAAACGTAACCATGGCTATGAAAACACCTGCAAACCATAACACACAGGATACAATCTAAATATGTCTGTTCCAGAAAAATATGGAAGCCTTGTGGCTTACACTCACTCAACGTAGCTTTTAACAACTCGAATAACACAGCTACATTTATTGTCTTCTCCATTTCTGGCATTCTAAAAGAACTGCTGAAAGTAGCTTTTAACCACTCGATAACACAGCTACATTTATCGTCTTCTCCATTTCTGGCATTCTAAAAGAACTTTAAGTCCTTTTAGTAATGCCAGTAAGGCTTGTTTCAGGCCCACTACCATGTATTCTATTACTGTAAAATAAAATATACAATGGTGATAAAAAGCTTCCTCATTTAAATTTATTTTCTTAACCCCCTTATTTTGCTTAACAATCTTTTTCTTTAAAGACATAGATTTTGTTTCATATTGGTCACTGGCAGGGTGCGTTCTATCTAAATGCTCCCCTAAATGAGATTCAAATTGATGTTAATTTGCTAGCACAGGTAGGGAAATGAAAAGGAGATATGATTCAGACCTTTAAATTTAGGAGTATGATAATGCTGGACCAGTCTTTCAACAAAACCAAGTGCTATTTGTTTTGCAGATTTATATACAACTTTCATTTTCCATATTATTAGGCGGAAATTCACTGAAACAGTATGAAGGGGGCCTTAACATTATATGTATAGGTCATTGGTAAAAGCAAGATCTTCTGTTATACCATTTGGGAAAGTGAAATGTTTTATGCATCTAATATGTAAAAAGTCTTTATTCTAATATACATAGAATGGCATTACGTCTTGCTTTTATGAATACTCTTATGAAGCCATTTTGAGTTTCCTATGTGTTCACTGAGGAGCTTGTTTTGTACCACTGCTAATGCTAGTATCAGCAGTTATTCAGTATTGCAGAGACTTAATTATGACCAAAAAGCCAAATTTTCTTTGTTTAGACATAATGCTGTGCAGCACCATTCCATTCTATAAATGGAGTATTCATGGGTTACATGAGCAGCAAATTTTTCTTCCTAAAACTTTATACAGAAAACTGAACTTCTTTGTATACCTATGAAAGAAAAAAAATCAAGCACTGAGCCCCTTCATTCATAATATCCTGCAAGACCTTTCAAAGACAACAAAGATTCTATGGTAATAACTAAAACTACATCAGTCTACGGCTAGAAGAACAGGGACAAAGCAGAAATACAATCTACAACAGGAGTTTGAAGGAAAAAAAATATAGTGAAAACAGGTGCCACTTCAGTCTGAAAAATTTGTATTTTCTGCTTTTGCCACATAAGCAATACTTGTTTTAAGTCAAAGAAATCTATTAAATAAAAAAATGCTTGTCTTTAGTGGTACTGCCTTTTTAATTCAATAGGGCACCAACTGGCCATAGGATTTGCTTATACTAAGACATTTGTCCCAACTCTTGAGTTACCTCTCTCTCAGCCAACTATGGCCTTTGCAGTACAGGGAAATGGGAATATTGGTTACAGCTTCCCAGTTCTGAGACACAGTCTGCACGTGGCTTTCGACTACACTAACCTACTATCATACAAACACCACCACAAAACTGGAATTCTGGCCTTCCTGAACACTATTTCAGATATTTAATAGTGAGATGACATCCTGAAATTGTTTTTCAAATCAGCTAGGTGACAGGAAAAAAAAAAAAACAAAAATGTAAAGCAAAAAATACATGCTAAGGATGGTCTTCTTCACCACAGACTGCTGTCACAAATAGTAACCTAACACGTTTGAGTGGTTACTTGCTCAAAAAATACTAACAGAATCTTAAATTATCATCAGAATGTGCCCAGATAAAAGCTTTAAAATTAGCAATAATGAGAGAGGGAATGACCAAAGTTTCCCAAAAGATAGGGGACCAAAAGATAGACTGTCTTAAGGGGGAACGGAGATTACTGATGAACTGAACCAACCAGTTTAAGAGGAACTCTGAGAAGCTGCTGTTTCATTTCGGAAACAGTAGAATTCCAGGTGTATTCAGGGGAAAAGACCCCACTTGGTGTCAGACACACATTTTTACAAAAAGATACATTCTTGTCCAAAATGCAGTTTAATTTATTTATTCTTGATACCTGTAATCATGATGGTTCTTGATAAAAAACAGTGGTAGTAGAAAAGAGGACAGCAAAAAAACCAGCTCTTCTCATTCAAGAGCTGATAGATAAGATTGTTACTTTTTTAAACATGCAGTGGGATGTAGGTGACAACATGCTATAGCGAATAAGAGGGAGTTAAACATGCTAAAGATGAGCAAGGTGAAATGCAAAGATTATACACATGGTAAAATTAGAGATCTTTGACAAAGATGACAAATGAAAAGCTTTTCTTTATCAGCATCTTTAAAAGATCCATAAAATTTTCTAGGCACAATTGCCAAACTGTTTTTAAATGCAAACTGTTAAACAGCAACCTTTCCAAAGATGCTACAATCCTAGCAGACTCAAATCTTGAATTCAAACATTGAATCAAATCTCCCTCTCAGAAATACCCGCGGAAGTACACTGATCTTGCAGATAGATTTGAAGATCAAAGCCAAGTTCCTGAGGAACAAAACCCAAAAAACCATCCTCTTGAAGCAAGTGTGCTTGGTTTACAGGTGTATCACATCACTCCTCTCCATAGTATGGAGATGTTGAACTGAAGCACCCAACTGTGTTTTGTACTCAAAATCAGATATATTACCTGACTGACAAATTAACAAAAAAAAACCCAAAGAAATACATCAAAGCTTACCTCGGGCTTTGGAACGAAGGCTTGACCTGGAATTACAAAACGGTTTTCAACAGTGCAGAGATGCTGAGCCATGACAGACAGCCTGCTGCGCTGCTTCCCTCCTGGGTTAGCTGTAAGCCTCTGGTGAAGAATCAAAACAGGTGAATCAGTGAAACTGAATTAACCAAGTGGTCAGCTACGCAACACATTGATTTTCAGTGCAATCAAAGGCAAAGACAAATTAAAAACGAGCAATTAATTGTATAAAAACTCACATCAAAGTTTACACCCAGCTCAACTACATTTCTTTTCTCCAAAGTAGCAGCATTTCACTAAGATACCATGCTACTTTACAACCTCTGTCCTGCAATCAAGTGCACATGAACAGGAGCTCCTTGAACTTCTACAGAACTTAATCAATGTCAAAAGACTTTTCTATGAGCACAGGAGAAAGCTCTTTTGATTGTGGGATTCAAAACAAACATAACATCAGCTGACAGTATTCTCACATCCTTTCCTTCCACTGTTTCTGTATCAAGGATTCTTTTTTTAACTCCTTCAAGATCAAACAAAGCTCCATAAACTCAAAAATCAGACAGAAAACAAAATTTCTTCATTATCAACTAGTCTATGCTTACAAGTCCATGCTTACAATATATGCAAGGAAGTTGGACCTACTTTACCTAACAGTAAGAACACTTAATACTTAAAGCTTAATTCAGTAATTATCTCATTTTCCCAAAACATTTCTTACAAAGAAAAATAAATTAATAAATTAAAATTTTTAAAGAAAAGTAGCCTGGACAGAGGTTTTCTACGCTTTCATGAACTGGCAAGATATATGGTCCGTGCATTTTGCTACCACAAGCAAGATTTAAACATAAAAAACATCCAGTAAAACAAGTCTCAAATGGTAAAAGACATTACACTAACTATGCAGAAAGAGAATTTTGAAGATTCCTGTTAATAAAAACATAAATGATGAAAAGCAATTTGCGTATCTGGTAACATCTGTACATCATGTATCTTCAGATGAAAAGCATACTTATAAAATGTTGCCATGCTTACTAAAACTATCCCTGAAAGAGAAAATTAAACTTATTGCTGAAGTTTTACCTTTTTTTTTTTTAAAACAACTCTCCTGAAAGGCAGTTTAAGTATTAGCATAGAGCAAAAAAAAAAACACTTTTCAATGACTTTTCAAAAAAAAAAGCTCAGTGATTTTTTGCCTACATCAGCATTTAAAACTACCTTCCTGAATGTTTCATTATTATCTATCTGCCATCGTTACTATTCTCTGAAAAAAAACAGGCCTGGAAAGTCTAACAATGCAATCAGATTTGTGTTTCCTCAGCCTCTGCAGTGGAAATGAAACAGACCTAATGACAAGGCTTGTAGCCCTTCCAATGCCAATTCAAACAAGCCACGAATTCCCACAGAAACGATCTAACAAGTCTCAGGTGGTTAAATCCTGCTTCCTAGCTACACATGGGATCATTTAAAAACATCCACCTCTAGGCAGTAACATCATAAACCACATCAGCAGGAACATACCTGTGTATGGTACTGCTCAAGGAACACAAAAATGCTGAGAATATACTTCTGTAACCTCAGCTATTTTTGTGGGTTTTTCCCCTCATTTCTCAAAATTTTCTTTATCCCTACTTTAAAAATACAGATGGCATCTGAAACTGCACTGAGTCAACCATGCTGGAGGAGGTCAACTAACTAGGTAACATTTTTGCATTTACTATTAAAATTTTAGCAAGGCATGAAGCAAAACCAAGATTCTGAGGCCTAACCTGGAACACAATCAAGGTGGTGGTACCTGACATCTGTTTTAAAGCTGGTTGCATTTACTATTAAAATTTTAGCAAGGTATGAGGCAAAACAAGATTCTGAGTCCTAACATGAAATACAATCAAAGTGGTGGTACCTGACATCTGTTTTAAAGCTGCTCACTATCAGCCACTCTCAATGAGAGTGTTCTTGAGTTGTTTGGTTTGTTCTTCACTGAGCTATACCATATAATTGTCCTTTTCATAAACGCATATTAAAACATTATCAAGGAATCTGCAGAATCAAACATAGCAATCAACCTATGTGAAGAATTAGCAAAGCTGACCATATAAAGGAATATTAAACACATTAGTAGACAAGGCACTTTTTGCAAAAAAACTTTGGTTTTAGCACATAAGCATTTATATTTAACCTATGTCAGTTACGAAAACATAATGGTAATTTTCTTCTGTTTGCTGATCAAAAATCTGAATTATTTTCCACTTTATTAGCACCTTTTGCCTAGTGTTCCAAACAGACTGAAAACATAATGGTAATTTTTCTTCTGTTTGCTGATCAGAAATCTGAATTATTTTCCACTTTACTAGCACCTTTTGCCTAGTGTTCCAAACAGACAGCAGTGTTACGATACCAAATAATTAAGTATTCTGCTCTTCTAACACGACTGTCTTCTAGATATCTAACAGCTTAGCACCCACCTCCCAGCCTGCAGATCATGTTGGCAGAGCAGTTCAGGCAAACTGCTCTCTGCCCAGTTTTACTCAAAATTAGAGCCTGACAAAGATTGTCTATTTAAACTGAAATACAACTCATTTTAATGGGAGTGGGCCAGGAAGTACCTAGCCTAGGTGGCAGATTTGAGGTGAAGCACTGAGGAATTTGGGTGAAGGTAAAAATTCTTATCCACAAAGTAAGTAAAATTCTACAAATTTAAGCTACAGAGACAGAACTGCCAGATCTCTTCAACAGTTTTAATTAAATCATATCACAACAGAGCGGTCTGTAGTTACAGGTCTATACTGACATAACTCATGCCAATGTAGCTGTGCCACAAGGAAACAGAAAAGCAGGAAACCACCACCAACAAGAGAGACAAAGGTATTTTCTACCTCTTATACTACCAAAAATGAACTTGACCACAAATAACACAGAATGTTGTTTTAGTTTCTTACTGCTAATCAAGTTATCCTAATTGATTATAAAGCACATGGCTCCATTCCAGGACAGCATGTTACGCTTCTGCTGAGCTCACACCATAAATACTCAAGACCTTCTTTGGTATTGAGGCTTTTAGCTTAGAAACACCCAGTGAGGACATCAAACTTTGGAGTATAAGACATTTTCCTTACAAGAACATAAATCCACAGATATATAAAATATCAGCAGCAATTTATTATCTGCATTGCCCTATTCTCTGTTTGCTGGTACTGAATATGCCAATTAAAATGGTAAACTTAAGCAGCTTCAGAGAGACAGAAAAAGAGACACAGGTTTTGATTACCATCGTTTCTCCTAATTGTAAAACAAAATAGCCTCTCTCAAACATGTTTTTCATGATGTCAAATCAATTATGGAAACACAAACCAGGAACTATGAACAGTTTTGTCTGTTTGTGCACTATGTCAGTGGACGATCTGTGTTTAAATAGATGTTAGAACAAGAATCAAGAGAACCCAGAATGTAAACTCAAGGACAATTAACGTTGATTCACTCCATGACCTTGAACAACGTATCATTCAATTTCCTGGAGTTTCTAACTTCTCAGCTTGCTAAGCACAGGGAAGGTAAGAGTGCATGGTATTTTGCATCTCATTGAGCTGTGCTGGGTGCAGCAGCACTATAATCTGCATGTCACCAATGGCATACACAGCTGGTTACAGCTATATAAAGTACAGAGTGCATTTATGCTCTCAGTCTGCACCGGGGCAGTTTTTTCACTGCTGTCACAAAACTTTGTGTCTTACGCATCATCACTTTGCATTTTACATCATAGTCCATTGGCCATATTTTGCAATGAGGTATAATCTCAAATGACATGAAGTCCTTCTGCAAAACAGACCTGGATTTTTCAACGCCTGAAACCACATGAGCTCAAAACTGAATTCTGAATTCTATCTTATTTTGCACCAAATGTTTGTCCCTGGTGTTCTCTAGAGCCACCTACTGGAACTACTTCAGTGTGTCTTGAATCTTGACTGAAGGGCTAGAGTATGACAGGACAACATGTTTGTATGACCCCAAAAAATGACAGCAGACACGCCACTTGCACATACAATTATTACTAACTTACATAGTGAAAAAAACCACAGCAGAATTTTCCTATTGGAATTTTTACTTTGAAAAATTAGAATTAAAACAACATATGCATTTAGGTTGCACACAGAAAATCAGGTATTTACGAACACTGGAGTAGTTTGATGGAAATTCAGTTTTCTGACTGATGTGCAATTACTTTTTCTTCTGTTTTTTTAAAAGCAAGTGGGATGCTGGTAAGAAGCCATACTGAGATGCTGTAAAGAAGCCTTACTGCTTTCATAAAGCAAAAAGTCTTCCAGCCTCTATGTTATGTTTCATACGATGGCAACAGAACTAAACTGTTAAGTCTGAAAGCGTTGTGGAATAAGTCATGCTAATATCAACTGATCTAGAATGAACACTACTACAGAGCAGGTAAGTTTGGCCTTTTTTGAGAATCTAACTATTGAGACGCAAAGTAAAATCTCCATTTTCTCTTGGACCTGCTGTGGTACAACTCAAATGATGCATTTTTACACACTCAAGACTGGCAGCAATCCATTAATAATTCAATTAATAATATCAGGTCTCGTTCAAAAAAGCCAGAATCAGTTTCCATGGACTTGACAAAATACTCCCTGTGTTTTAAGTGTTCAATCACAACTGGAAATAATGCTAAACCTGCAATTTCTCCTGAATTCAAGGAAGGCGTCTTTTTTTAAAAAATATTTATAATTAAGAGGGCAAAGGAAATAACATTGAGCGTATTTCTTGAGGTGATTGAAAGGAAAGGAAAACCAAACTGATGAAATGGTGCATGAATGACTGTGAGAGAAGAAATATAGTTAACAGACAGAAAAGTGCTGCAGAAATCATGTCGAAGAAATCAGATTTCAGAAAAGAACAGATTAAGTACCTCAAGGAAATATACCTCTATAAGAAATTAAAAAAAAATAAATATTAAAATATATTAAAATTTTGGGGAAACAGTAACATCTTACCTCTGCAACTTCCTTCTGAAAAGTCAATGTCATCTGTGTCCTACCATAAATAAAAGGTCCATCCTTTTTGGAAACATTTTCAAGCCATTTGATGATTAAAGGAGTTGAAACACTGAAGGGCAGATTCCCAATAATATGTATATCTGGTGGCTCTATTAACATTTGATGGAAAAAAAAACAACTGTTAAAAAGTTTTGGATAGGATTTTGCCAGGAAAGAACAAGAAAGAAAGAGATGTGCATATCCAACCTAGACTTAAAATATGAAAACGATTTTTATCATGCCACGCCAAAATTATGCCTTTCCATTTACAGTTGTCTTACACTGACAAAACTGTTACTATTCTCAGTAATTAGTTGGAAAAAAAGTGGTTAGGTTTGGTTCTGATTTACATTCAAATAAATCAGCAGCTTTCAGCTGATTTTCAGCTGATCAGTAGATTTCAGCTGAGCTACTCCAGAAGTGCAAAACTGGAACAACAGCAAAACCACAGCAGCCTTTCCATGATTTTCAACTATGACTATTAAGCACAGAGTAAATAGCCACAGTCATCCTTCTGCCCAACACGTTCCTCCCAGAAGCTTTTTACTGAGACTTCATAATTCCCAAAACAATCACCTACCTCAAACTGAGCAGAGCTCTCCTTCTGTATAGAGCCCTCTGAAATCAAGCGGTCTTAGAGCAAGTACAAGACTTAGCCATTAGAAACTATATGTATTGTTCAATTATGTATTGCATCAGTATATATGTGTTGTACAACACAAAGGAGGCATCTCTGATCAGATTCTACTTTTGCGAATATCCTGCTGAAGCCAATGCAATGAATAAATCAAATTTTCAAGTTTCAAAGAGAGTTACACAAATGTCTTCAGTGGAATGACAGCAGTGGTGGTGGTTTCTGGCTTCTTCAAAAAGAGGAAGAAGCCGGGAAGAAAGTGAACAATTTGATTTGCTTTTATACTTTCCAAGAGATATTATTGCACAGTCAAGTCAACCTAAGGTTAATAAATGCAAAGTTCCTCAATAATGTGGACTAAGGTGAGTGTCACACAAATTCCATTGTTTGTCTTTGAAGAGGAAGATGATTCCCTGTCTCCTTCTAGAAAGGAAGAGTTTGCTCATCCCTCTCTTCTTACCTTCAAAACATACCAGAAGAAAAACACCTGCACGGAGTGAACTCCAACAATATCATCACACCTAAGACTAACTCAGAAGCCTTAAAAATGAAATAAACTGAACCCAAATACTAACCGTCCTCCCAGTTCTTCTTTAAGTGCTTTGGAAAAGCCTTCTCCATCTTATATGTCAGAATATCTCCATGAACAATGCGCACTTTTCCTGGAGCTGCTTCAGAGAGCATCTGTTTGTAAGCAAGCAAGCAGAATTCACAGGGAGCATTAACCAAACTCATTTCCAGCTTCAGCCACAGCAGGAATGAAACCATTGCTATATATTTATCTTCCATACACAAAAAAAGCACAATAGCAGTTAAACCTGGGCACACTGTTAGTAAGTATGTACCTTCAAAAAGGAAACACTAACAAAAAAAGTTTAATGTGTGATTCTGTAAATGCTTACTATTCACAGCTGTAAAATTCTTAATAGGGAATTTAAACCTGAAAAGACTGCTAAGAGTCTCTTTGACACGAAACAATTAACAAACCCTGGGCCACTAATAGGACCCCACCTGATCTATGTAATAATGCAAGCAGCAGGTTTTGAAAAGTTTTTAGATCCATTACCTATGGAAACATGGCTCATGTTGTTTATTCTGTCTCCCCCGTAGCTGTAGGGTTTATTATCCAATTTCAGCCATATGTGATACAAGACTGCAGAAATACTCAGTCGTTTTTTCTTTTACATAAAAAAGTGGAAAATATTCCCTTAATACTCCCTGTAGCAGTCTGAACTTACACCATTTGAAACCAAGGAGTTCCCAAAAACGGAGGAATGAATACCTAGCAGTAGAGAAAATCTCAAAAATTTGTATCTTGTTAGACATTAAAAAATCCACTCTATTGTCAACTTCTCTATCCCACTTTTACAGCTTATCTAATATTTAATAAATGCTGAAATGCAAACTCAGAACCAGCTGTAGTTTGATGACCAGTTCTTTCATTTCTGCTATCAGGTTACTCAATCAAAATTTGTTAAGTTTTTTACTGTTGTACTCATATTTTCTCTTACAACATGAAACTATGCATAAACACCGTAATTCAAAAACAAAGTCTACTTTTACAAAGACAACATTTGGGGATATTTATTGTTCCTAAGTCAGAATAATGAAAAATGACTTAAAGAACAATTTTGGCTTTGCACAGAAATCCAAATCCATAAACAGTTAAGTGCTAGTGGCTTAACCACTGAAATAAACTGCTCACCATTGTTAGTTTCATGTTCAATCACATTAATATGCTCAGGGGCACAAACAGCTTTCATAGGTCTCTGAGCCAAAGGAAAGTGCTGCTTTCTCATACTGCTTACAAAATGTTTGCATGAATTTTTTTTGAGTGAAAGGTTTTTTTAACATCAAAAACATCTAAATTATGTGTAGAGTTCTAAAAAAGAATGCTTAACTAAAAACTAAATGTTCCTACATATTTTAAATGCAATCATTTCCAACTAGAAAAAATAAATCTAACACCAACTCAAAACCACTTAGCAGATTTTTCAGCATTAAACAAGCAATTATATTACATACAAATTCACTAATCTGCCATTTGTCAAATCTTTCTTTGAAGCTGCTATAAATGCTGTAATAGGATGCAAGATAATGGAAGATCAATAAAGTTGGAAAACAGCATATGAGGAAGCAGGCAGCTGCCTACACAACAATGGATTATTAACATATATTGTTTTTTAATAATGGTTTTCGTGTCAAGAGGAGTTTGGGTGTTTTTCAGTGTCACACAAGATAATTGAGTACTGCATTTAATGTGTGAGCAAAAAATCACAGTTGCATATTTCTAATTTGAAACTCAGAAACCCCCTGAAACTTTCTCCGTTTTTAGGCCAACACGTTCACCTAACACAGTTCTAGGAGCTCTTGTGATCCAAGCACACAAGCCAAGTGATTCTCCATCACTCAGATTCTCTTCTTCTTCCTCTCTTTGGTTCATAACCAAAAGGACACGAAGAAAACATAAAGGACATATAGTTTAAAAAATGAAATGGTGTTCCAGAAAGAATTCTGTATTCAATCCACTCTCTGGTTGAGAGAGCCCTTTCTCTCTCCTCATAAATCCTGCCAGCCTAACAACTATTAAGGCATATGGCACAGGGAGGTTGTGATTCTTTAAGAGCGAGACAGACTCTCAGCTTGTGTAACTGTTACTCTGAACACATATGTTCTTTACTATAGTTCAGTTCTGCAGTAAAGTGCATCCCAACTTCAGTCTCGTGGTAGAGATCACAACGTGGAAAACAGCTAATGAAACAGGCTGCATGCCTCGTGGTAGAGATCACAACATGGAAAACAGCTAATGAAACAGGCTGCATGCTTTATGTCAGTGATTTTATAAGTATCTAAAGAGACATTTTTAAGGAACAGTTCTCAACTGTTATTTTAATCTTTGACATTTTCTGTTATTCAGATCTCAACCCCTTCATAAACATTTGGTTTTGATAGAGCTTTGAATGGGAAACTAAAAAAAAAAAAAAGGTATTATAACCCACGTTATCACAAAAGAGATTAATTCTTTTATGTATCATCTTATTTGGAGGGAAAAAAAACACCACCAAATTTAACATTATGGATGCAATATATTTCTTGTTCATTCCCATCCACTGTTACCGAGTTATAGCATCTTTATATTCAGTAAACACATATTTATTTCTACTATGAAGAGGTTGCTAATGTAAAACAGTAACTAATGTTAATTCTCTTGAACAGTAAAGATGATTACATACCAAAAGCTCGTAATAGACCCTGGAAAGTATACTTTTATTCAGAGAAATCTGTTGCAGTGGCTGCACTTCAGAAGACCAGAAAAATTGTCTAAAGTACTTAAAAAACTCTGTTAACTGAAGTAAGTAGCATTTCATCTCATATTCTCTCCAATGCCAAAACAGTTCTTAAAATCTAAAACAAAAATGCAGATTTGCCACCACTCAAGAAAAGTGAAAACATGAAGTTTTCAAACTTCATAAGTTAAAGGTGGCATACTGTAAATTATCAATGGCTAACCCTACAAAAATACAATTACATGTGTATTCAGGCTTAAGGTTATATGCAGTTTCATTTGCAATTGACATTATTATTGTTCTAAAAAGAGACAGTATCAGTTCTCAAGTAAACTACCCATTGATTTTCACTGCTGACTTACTACAGAGTACACAGGGCAACATGAGGAAAGCCCTTTGAATTGCTATGATTTGAGGTTGAAGAAGCATAAGAAAACAGTCAACCCTAAAGAGATTTTGGACTGTTTTTCTTGCTAGATTTATACAGCCATTCCATAAACATGGAAACTTAACAGCAACACAAGTAGATGGTATTTGAAAAATCTTACAAAGACTTATGAACTTACATCAGCCTCAAAAGAAAGGACAAAAGTTTAAGAGTGGGTTTTTTTGAAAATGTAAAATAAATGCTTGCTTTATTCTTCTATGTCTGTATGTTAATCCACATTGAACTATATTAACTGGAGATATACGTTCACAACTTTATAAGCTTTAAAGAATAATTAAAATGTAAAATAAGACCAAAGGACATTACCTTCAGCCATCAAACTACTATTTCACATGCATGGATAGACATTTAAAGCACCTGAAACATCTCAACCTGAAAAAATGAGACAGGCCTCAGCCTTAATTCAGTTGCAGGATCAGATCCTGAAGAGACAACAGGCATTTAAATGAACAGGAATATGAGAAAGCAGGATCAATTAATTGCTATACTGTGTATATTCATCTTGAAGCAAAAGATGACTCTGGTTTAAGCCAAGAAGCAAAACCTCTTTTCAACTCTGAGATCTCAACAAGACATTTAGAACCTTTCTCTTTTCTTAAAATATTCTTATTCAATGTTGTCGATACATTTATACAAACTATTCTCCAGATGGTACCTGCAATCCTGGAATAAATCGAGCATCTTTTTCAATTAAAAGGAGTTGTTCAACACCAGCACTGAGAATGGATCTGGTAATACCTCCTGGCCCAGGGCCCACTTCGCAAACACGGGCATTTTTCAGCTCACCAGCTTGTCTCACTATCTTGTCTGCAAGACACAAAGAACATACTAAGCCTTTATTCTCCAAAAGATCCAGCTTACTAAGATAACCTCATTGTTTATTGTTGAAGCACAAGTGTGCTTATCTCAGAACAGACACAAACAGTGACATATCCCAGTTAAATAATCACACGCCTGCCAGACTGCACAGAATTCCAATTTGTTTCATACCACAAGCTACACTCAACTGTTTAAAGATGACTATTTTCAGTTTAATGGCTTTAATATACATTGTTGCTAATTACAGAATAAAGTAAAAATAAGAGAAAATTATTCATCATCTGTAAACTAGCAGTACTATTCTCCTCCTGCAAATAAGCATTTGTGTTCAGCGCACTGAGGTCTCACTACTTATCCTTATGAAGATATTTCAATACAGTACCTCTATTTTAAGCAAACTTAAGCAAAAATGATACATTGAAGCTCTATGAAAATTACAATACATATTGAGCATTTTTTGAGGAAGGAGATGGAGTGAAGTGAAAAGTGGAATACAGGCCGCCAGTAGTTATAGAAAATCAAGCAGTTGAAAGATGAGGAAAGAGGAAGGATACAACATTGAAGGCATTACAGCAGGAGAGAAAACTGATTAGGGATTGACAAAGGATTAAAATAAGGATTAAAAATGTAGCTAATGAAACAAAGTGATCCCTAGGAAGCATGGAGAGAGGGACGCTGAGAGAAATTATGCTGCACACTCCACAATTTCTTAAGTATGTAATGAAAACAAGAAATATCTGAACACTTGTCTACTTAGAAGGTTGTACTAAAACCTTGCAGACATTTTCACTCCAGGACAATATTCCAGTTATCAGGTAGTGGAACTGAGTTTCATGTTCATATCCAGGATCTGTATCAACGTGAATGTAATCAAATCATCAGCTACATGAAGCTGCACCGCATTGATCGCTGCAAACCCCAGCCACGACCAGGACAGTCAAGAAACCCACCACTGACTGAACAGTGCCAGCTTTGTCACACATTGCTGACATGAGGCTGGAAATAACCAGAATTGTTGAGAACAATGTAAATGGTTCAAAAAAAAGCTACAACATCTCTGATAAACTGAAACAAATGAGCTTCCTAACCACCGTATACAGTAAATTAAACTGTACAATGAGTTACAGTACTTTTTATGACACGCAACAATCTGAAAAAAATACTCGTTTTTTAATCCAGCTTAGAAACTATAATAGTACCCGAATGATAAAAGTATTGATTGCACTTCAATCAATAACCCATATTTTATATAGGAATATAGTTTCTACCTAAAAAACTAATCTGTAATTTATAAAGATTTCCATGCCTTTACATGTAAAATCAATTCATTTAAGCTAAAAATACTTTAAAAAGAATTCTTTAAAGGTTTACCATTGAGCTGTCATGAGTTTGACAGATGTCATCGTGCAAACATCATCTCCTTAGCTAGAATCTGGATTCTGAAGAAAACTAGGCTACATGTTTTTATAGCAGCTAAAAATATTAGAATAAAATATTTAACCTGTCAATCGCAAATCCAGCAGAAAGTTCTGGGAAAGTTGTTTCTGTGCTTTAAGGCGAAAGAGTTTAATAATCTCTCCAACAGTTGGCAGGGGAGGCAGATGGAAAGCTGCCACCTTCCTTGGAACGGCCATAAGGCAAAGCTCTTGTTCCTTCCTCCTAGAGAGACATTGAAAAGGTGATTCTAGTATACGGCATAAACTCTACCGTACTCAATATTAAAAATGCTAAGTTTACAGACCAAGACATGATTTACAAGCCGCTACACAAGCGCTAAATTTTAAATATGAGTATTTTGTCTACTGTGTGCAGTGCTTACGCTACCCCTGTGTTTGTGCGATTGGGCAAGTCTTGTTTTATAGCTTTGACAAAACACCAGGTAAAACAAAAACCCTCTTGCCACTGTTCGATGTCGCTCTTTCATTACTTTAGAAGAGAATCATTAAGCATAATCTGCCCGGATTCATGGCATTGCATGAAGACAGATTATACTTAATTGAAGTGTCCCTGAATAATTTTTTTTTTATTTATTTTTATTTTTATTACAGAACCACCTGGTTTTCAAAGCAGAGACACAGAATCACACAATGGTTCAGGTTGGACGGGACCTTAAAGATCATCCAGTGCCACCCCCTGCCCTGGGCAGGGACACCTCCCACCAGACCAGGTTGCTCAAAGCCCCATCCAGCCTGACCTTGAACCCCTCCAAGGATGGGGCATCCACAGCTTCTCTGGGCAACCTGTTCCAGGCCCAGATCGGAACCCCACGTGTAAACAATGGCATTAAGTAATTAAAAAGTGAATAAATAAATCTTTTCACTTTGAGGGCGACAGCACGAACCCCTTTGCCTCTCTCTCCTGTCACCCTCCACACAGCCCCCC